AGGATTCAACTTACCTGAGTTGGCATGATAAAGAAGTCTTAACCATATAAGGAGAGTAACTTCGAAATGACCAATCTGCTTTTTGTTCTGTTTCTGCTTCTTTAGCCCTCTTCAGCTTACAAAGCCCACATCCTCTGCTCAGCTCAGGGAGCTTGCTCTATTTTATGAATGAGATGATACCTGATTCATGAACAGGTAATAAGAATTAATGAGACCTCAAAAAAGAAAATTTCAACACATTGAGTTTTAAACAGTGGTATGTTAACTTTGAAAAATTTCTGATTTCTCACTCTAAATATCCATATTCAAATCTAATTTTGTAGAAGTAAGTTCCATATCCTATAAAACTTGTTGCCATACCATCAGTGGGTGAAACCAAATTCTGCCCATTAGTCAAGCATGAAACCTGAAAGCCTTCTTTATTCCTTTCTTCCTCTTCCTCTATCACCACCAGTCAACTAACTCCTGTGGATCACACCTGGTAGCTGTTTTGTACAAAAGGTCAACCTTGGTTTTTTTTTTTTTTTTTTTTTTTTTTTTTTTTTTTTTTTTTTTTTTTTTTTTTTTTGTTTTCATTTTTAATAGCCTGTGTAATAAGTAAACCTCACTCCCCATTCCCCCCAACTCAGATCATAAGGATCACCTTTGGGCCTTTTCTGCTCAAGGTCATGGTCTCTGACACCCAGTGTGATGTGGGGTGTCTAAAAGGCACTGAGTCTGCTAAATCAGTATTTCCTTGTAAAAACCTGATACAATACAGAAAGTCCAGCTGGCCTTCATGTGATCTTACTCTTCTTCCCAAAAGATAATTGCTGTCATCAGTGTATCTTCCCAAATACTTTCTAGACATTTGCATTTAGAAATATAATTTTAGTTTGTACAGAATTAAGATCATGTGCATGCATTATCCTGCAACTTGCTTTGTCACCAAGTGTCTTGGAGATCTTTCCATGACTATGTATTTAGGGCTATTTATTCCTGTGCAACTGCTGCATACCATTTCACATATCAGTACTGTGTATTCACAGTACCATTCCGCTACTGATGTCCACTTAAGTAGATTGACTAATTAAGGGTATCTGTATTAGGCTGTTCTTGCATTGCTATAAAGAAATATCTGAGACTGGGTAATTTATAAAGAAAAGCGGTTTAACTGGCTCATGGTTCAGCAAGCTATATAGGAAGCATGGTGCTGGCATCTGCTCAACTTCTGGGGAGGCCTCAGGAGACTTACAGTCATGGTGGAAAGAAGGGAAAGCAGGAACAAAAGTGACGGGGGAGGTGCTACACGGTTTTAAATCACCAGATCTCGTGAGAATCACTCACTATCCTGAGGACAATGCCAAAAGGGATGGTGATAACTATCTATGAGAGAACTGCCCCCATGATCCAATCACCTTGCACCAGGCCCCACCTCCAACATTGGGGGTTACAACTGAAAATGAGATTTGGGTAGGGACACAGATCCAAACCACATCACTGTCCATTCTTAGAACATACTGTCAAATTTCCCTACGAGAAGGCTTACATGATGGATTAATTTTTCTCTCTATACATGGTCACCATCAAAGGCTAAGCTACTGTCATCCTTTCTACCTGGGAGCCTAGCTATGTCTCCAAACTGTTTAAATGTACTCTCCACAATGCTTGAACAACTTAAAGATGTCAAATATAAGCAGGGCACTCCTCTCCTTAAAATCTCAGAAGCTTCCCTGTCCTTTGGGATAAACTCTTAAAAGCTTTATGTGTCTCCCAAGACCCTGCTGTGTTCTGGTTCTTGCCTACCTTTCCAGACTCAATTCCTACCATCCTTGTCTCTTTCCTTACCCCAATTACTTTTGTAAAAACAATCTTCCAGTGGAGGCATGGGTATCCCTGAGAATGCGGACACATGCAGTCATGAACAGTTTTAAGGGATTCAATTTTCAGAACTCAACTCTTCTAAAACTGATCTGCCTGAGGACTCCTGGAGTCCAGACCCACCTGGCATTTCACAATGGCTCCTCTGCCACCTGGCACATCCCAAATCTTATGACGTGGTGCTGCCCTGCTGAGGTAGAAAGGCATAACCCTGAGGATACCAACAGAGAAAATTTAGTGAAGGCACCACTAAGAGTTGCATTTCTAGTAAAACTTTTTTTGCCTACAATTCCTTATCAGATTTTATGAAATACATTGATTAAAGTGCATATTGTTAATAATAGCAACAGTTCAATCCAGAAGAAAATTTGCTTCTTAGAACCCTGATGATACAGTCTGCTCAATAAAAGACTTTAAGGGATAAAGCATATTCAGTTAAGGTAGAATCCTGTGGCAGAAGTGAAATAAAAAGATTTTCAGGGAAAAAAATGATTGATGCAAAGTTTTCAACTGGTCAATGGCTTAAGTAGCTTTGAGATGAATGATGGGGTGGGTATTAAATCGCTATGGTATTTATAACTCACTTCATATATTTAAAATTTTTCTGTAATCACTTTATTTTTACAACATCATTCAAAACTCATCAGAACTTCCTTCTTTTTGTGATTATTTATATTTATAATGAAAAGCCTGTGCATTCTGTTGTTGTTGTTGTTGTTGTTTTGACAGGGTCTTTTTCTTTTGCCCAGGCTGATGTGCAGCAGTGCCATCACAGCTCCCAGCAGCTTTGAACTCCTGGGATCAACGAGTCCTCCCAACTCGGCCTCCTGAGCAGGTGGGGCTACAGGTGTGCACAACCACACCCAGCTAATAAAAAAAGAATTTCTTGTAGAGATGGAAGTCTCACTCTACAAATCGCTCAAGCAATCCTTCCTCCTTGACCTTCCAAAGTGCTGGAATTACAGGTATGGGCCACGATGCCCAGCTGATAAAAACATTTAATTATCAATTTAAGTATGTGTGATAGGAATACACAGCATTCTTTCAGGCGGCATCTCAACAAATCTTAAAAAGACTATTATGGCCCACTCCAGTGCTATGCATGAGAATACGATGTTCTCTCAGCTTCAGGCATTCAAATGTGCCATTCTCCCTTGGAGGGCCCACTAACTTCCTCAAGCGTCACCTTAAATATCATTTTACCTGAAAAGTCCTCCTTGTCGCCATACTAAATTAGATTGCTTTGATATATGCTCCCATAGAACCACGAATGTCCCCTTTTCATCCCACAGGTAACTCGTTAAATGTTGTACCAGGAACACATAGAATCTGCTTTTCACTGTTCCACTGGTGCCCAGCAGGGTATACAGAGGAGGAAGTCAGCCGTGCTCTGAAAGAAGCATCATTCCGGTAGACGGGTGGAAAAGGTCATCAGACTGCAAGGGCTCAACCAAAGTACAAGGTAAGGAGGCAGAGGGTGTGGACTGATTTTCAAGAGGTTTGCATGGAAAAGGAAGGAAGGAAAAAAAAAAAAAAAAAGACAGAGAAATAGAGCCGGGTCGTGGCAGAAAGGGAGGGTGGATCTGTGACTGTTCAAAGGAAAGAGGAACGTGAGCAGCACAGAGAATAATTGATAAAGTCAGGAGCTGGGTTTGAAGATAAAAAGGGAACACGAGAAAGTTAAGTTCCATGTTTCCATGCCAAACATTGCACAAAAGCTTACAACTTGGTGACTAACAGTAATCTGGGGTAATTCACAGTAACAAATTTACACAGAAACATGTATTTATTGACTGTATACATGGCGATCCCAACGTGAGCACAGAACCTGCTTTATCTTTTCACACATTGTTCTAGCATAGGGGATGTCTGGTCTCAGTTAAAGAAAGCATGAACATTGTCCACACCCATGACTTTCCTCCTCCAGTACTAAACCTAGTTCTTACAATGCAGGGCAATGACAGCCACAGAAAGGGGGAGAAGCTCTTTCTACTGTGTAATGCTTCCTGCTGGCCCTCAAATACTTGTTACTTGAGAGATCTCTGTTCACCTGGCTTTATCCCCAAAGGTCACCATCTACCAATGACGTTACTTGATGTTAATCATGTATAAAGAAAGTAACCATCCTGGCCCCGCTTAAAACTTTCCACTGAAATGCTGTTCTGCCTAAAGGTAGCACGGGCTTCCATTAGGCAGGAAATATATATAAATGTATTTAAGGTAAAGCATTTGGCATTCTTTTAAAGTACAACTATCCTTGAAAAGTGTTACGTATTAAACCAGTTTTACTGCAGCCAAAGGGGAGAAGTACCCAGAAAGCCTGTGAATCTGCTTTAACATCAATAAAACAGCTACGTACCCTTCCTAGCTTTTAGTGAAGGCTACAAAAGTATGTATTTTATGGGTTCTACATGTACACTCAAGTACTTTAATTATTACAGAAAAAAATGAGGCTCCTTATTAAAAAAAAAACAAAATCAGAAACAAGTCCAACAGGCTCTGGAGAAATTAAGCAAGGGTGAATTTTGGAAAGGTCTAATAAACAGTACGGAAATTTTTTTGTGGGATGGTTCTTCAGCTACGCATAAACTTGTAATGATCATCATTGCTGTTATGGGAAAAACACCAACCCTAATTCTTAAACATCTGGTGGAGAGAAACGGGCGGGAAGGGCTGATGCGCAGGCAGAAGGGAAGCTGAGGCGGCGGCATCCCAGCGCTAAGGCCCGGCAGCGAGCAGATGGGGAAACCCGAGCTGCTTACAACCTGGGACTCTGACAACGCTAACAACCCCTTTCTCACTGCTCTAATTGTGTGCTCCCCGGCGCCCAAGGGCCTGTGGGCAGGAGATGCACGTTTCAGGCAGCTCCAGCGACCCTGAAGCCCGCCGGAAAGCACGTCCGGCCGAGGGAGCAGAACAGGAGGCACCGGGACCCTCCTCCGGTCGTAACCCTTCATCCAGCTCCGCCAGTCTACGGCAGGGACAGCTGGGGAGCATGCGCAGCGGCCGGAGCCGGGCTGCCCGCGTGCTCGGTAGGCAATTTGTGCGGCAACTGTTGGCCAAGCCAACCAATGAGGAGACGTGTTATTTTCGCCGATGGGGAACTATGGCAACGGGAGACCAATCAGAAGGCGTGTTATTGCCGCGGAGCCCCGCCCCCAGCAGGGGGGATGTGGCTATGGGTGAGGGTCATGGGGTGTGAGCGCCTCTGAGCCGTCGACCCGGAGGGCCGCGGGTGCCCTTGCCTCGCCGCCGCGACCAGCGCACCCAGCCCCGCAGTCGCCCGCCCCGTTCCCGGCGGCGGCGCAGTCCATGCGGCTGGGGGCGGAGGCTGGGAGCGGGTGGCGGGCGCGGCGGCCCGGGCCCGGGCGGTGATTGGCCGCCTGCTGGCCGCGGCTCAGGCCCGGGCGGCGGGCGGGGAACGCAGGCGGAGCCCGCTGCCGAGGAGCCGAGAAGATGCTGCTGTCCCTGGTGCTCCACACGTACTCCATGCGCTACCTGCTGCCCAGCGTCGTGCTCCTGGGCACAGCGCCCACCTACGTGCTGGCTTGGGGGGTCTGGCGGCTGCTCTCCGCCTTCCTGCCCTCCCGCTTCTACCAGGCGCTGGACGATCGGCTCTACTGCGTCTACCAGAGCATGGTGCTCTTCTTCTTCGAGAATTACACCGGGGTCCAGGTGAGCAGCCTCCCGCTCCCGGGCCTCGGCGTTCATCCGAGCTCCCAGGGGAGCAGACCCCTCCGCTCCTCCCAGGTGGCGAGGGTCGCCAGGCCTGCCCGGCGGACCCAGCCAGGAGAGCACGTGCCGCCTCCCCGCCTTCTCTCTGCTCCTGCTTCCTGTGGCTCCGCGGAGATCGCTCTCTAGGAAGCGGTGGCTGCGTGGTTCTGAGGCCACAAGTGGGACTAGCCGCCCCTTTCCCCGCTCCTCGCCCGGGTCTGATGCTGCTTAGCAAAGTGGGTGCAGATGCACGTTTTAAATAGGACACGCGTTTGGCAGTTTCTGGCCTTTGGTCCAAAGAGGTGGTCATGTTGGAACAGACTGTAGATGTCTGCCCTCCGAAGTGCGCTTTTACAATGACCTTCTCTTGAAACGGAAGTACAATTCTGTGTTGTGTTCTTCCCCCAGGACAAGTGAAAGCTGGACGAGGAAATGAATACATTTGTTACGGTAGAAGCTTAACTAGATACAATTGTTGCCAATTTTAACTGAGCTTAAATGTGTCGGTGATCTGTTGCCTGATTACTTTCTTTCTGCTACTGTTTCTTTGTAGTTTTGGATTCGTAGATTACATTTGAGAAACAAACCATAAAAGTAGAAGGCCCTCTTAACAGTAGGTACTTGAAATGTTATAAAAAATTACAAATGTGACTTTTCCTTTTATTTTTCAGTTTGAAAGAACAGCTTTATTCTTGGTTATTCCTGATGTCCTCTTAGTCCTCTTTTACTTTTCTTGGTAGGGTTAGGGTGGGATGGGGAAAATGGGACGGTGTCATTTTGTCTAACTTTTTTTTTTCCCACTTAGAGCAGCTGTTTTTACCCTGTGGTCAGTCAGCTACTATATTTAGTTTGCAGCTGCACTGCTGATGGACCCTTGATGTCCCCAGTTGCAAGTTATTGGCGGGGAAGGAATTAGGAGAGGCCAGGGCCTCCATTTAAATCAGTATCCCTGTCTCCTTGGAAAGAAAGATGCTGTTCCAGACCATGGTTTCTGGGTAATTGAATTTTAAAATGAGCCTCATTTAAAAATCTCAATAATTCAGGCTATTTTTTTCCCTTTACATGATAACTTCACCAAGTTTGTCTAAATATATGATCATTATCATGATGAAGTTTTTACTTTTACATAATATGACAACTGGCCTGGGCTGGGATATAAGCTCAGAGCACAAAGTCATTCTCCTCTTAAAAAAATAATTCTACCTGTGCTGGGTTATGTTATTTTTGTTTAAAGAGTATAGAGTGTCCCACACAGTATGATGCAGAATATACCATTGAAGGATGTTTTGTTTGGCAATTTCTTATTTTTTTAAATGACTGTAAAATTTAGTGTTTCTGAAATTACATACTTTACCTTATATACTGCTGATTGCATAACTCCAATTTACTTCTTGATTTTCCAGCAAGTGATTTTTAAAACATTTAATCTAATGTTTGCCCCCTCTCTCTATTCAAATAAAAGGAACTGGCATCCAGCACTAATTTTCATACATTTGTGAAAGGATGCCTGAGGGCCCTTACATATAATTCAAAATTTTGTTTAATGTGTATTCCTTGATGAAGTTCTTTAGGAATCCTAGAACTGATTGCCCAATAATCATCAAATTCAGGTTATGAATACATTTGATACAAATTTAAAACCAAGAGTTTCTTCTTCCTACATTTTTGTTTTTATTGTTTGGACGGGGCAAAGAGTTATTTTCTGTTTAGTAATAGAGAGAAGGGTATTTTGAATTTGTTAGGGTCTTTTTCTGTAATCCGGATTTCCTGTATACACAGTGCTACCTTTCAATATTTTTGATTATTTCCTTCAAGATTAAATCAATAGAGGAATAAATATCTTCAAATGTAAGACCCAAAGGAACAAGAGTTATAGTGACATTCTGTCATCTTATTTTTTACCTATGACTTTTTACCATTGACTTTGTCACTGAGATGTTTTGATTAAAATTTTTAGCTTGTTTTTCTTGTTTTGCCACAATACTCTTTTTTTCCTTGAATTTTTTTTTAATCAGGTTTCATTTGCAAAGCTAGTGATGATTCTCTTGTTCTGTATAAAATATTAACTCATTTCTGAAGGGAGTTTTAGTAATTTAAGAGGTTCTAAGTTTTTAAATAAAAGAAGGTTTATTATATACATCAAAGAGGCATTTTAAAATTAAAGTTTTTTTTTTAGTGACATTTTTATGCCTTTCAACTACAGGTTTGAAAATATGAATGGTTCATAGTAGTTCTTGCAGATTATTTTCTTTTGCGTAGAATTTTTTAGGTAAAGAGAAGTAGTAGGTCCATGAGATTTGTGATCTGTGCTTGGCAGGTAAACCTGCTTCCAACAAGTTTACTTGGATTTTCCTTGGAGTCTAGGTAAATATCATTTCTTCCCTAATTTCACTACTTTATATGTGTCTCTGAGATAGAGAAATATTTCAGTCAATCCTACTAACATTATTCTTTATACCTTGTTTATCCTTTTAGGTCCTTTCAGAATCTCTCATTAGTACTGAAACTCAACTGGGTACTTTGTTCACCATTTATTTCTTTAGAATGAGTAATAAGCATTTTTTAAGTTTTATGTATTTCAAATAGTTTGAGACTTTTTGAAAATCAACTTAAATCTCTTTACTAGGTAAGCTATGGTTCACCTGCCAAGCACAGATCATTGATTCAAGCACTTATGTTACTTTCCTGTGCTGCCAAAACAGATCACCTCAAACTAAGTGGCTTAAAATAATAGAAACGTATTGTCTCGTGACTCTGGAGGCCAACAGTTTGAAATCAAGGTGTAGGCTCAATTGTACTCCCTCTGGAGGCCCCAGTGGGGAATCCATTCCTTGTGTCTTTCAGCTTCTCTTGACTGGCAGCATTCCTTGGCTTGGGGCCAGGGTCACTTCAGCCTGGCCTCACAATCCTGGCCCTGGCCTCTTCTCTCTCACATTTCACCCTCCCTTTCTCTTAGAAAGATGCTTGTCATTGGGTTTAGAGTCCACCTGGATAATCCAGGATGATCTCTTCATCTCAAGATTCTTAATTTCATTATAACTACAAAGATCCTTTTTCCAAATAAGAAAACATTCACAGGTTACAGGGCTTAGGATGTGGACACATTTTTAAAACGGGCTGCCATTTAACCCACCACAATAATGAACTCCATCGTTCCACCTATTTGGTATTTTGTAGTTATTTCTTAGTTTAACTTGCCTTATTGCTTTCGGTATTTACATATGAAATCATTTTGGTCTCTGCTTTCTTTAACAGAGAACCTGCTTTTGTTCTGTAATAAGTTTTCTTTCCCATAATCTTTTAGTTTCTTATTTACAGATTAATCTTCACATATCCCTTAAACAGAGCATTTGATTAACTTTTATTTTCAGAACCAGTCTATATTCCATGTAATAATCAACTTATTCATA